GAGACATTACTTTGCCAACAAAGGTCCGTCTAGTCAAGGCTATGGTTTTTCCAGTGGTCATGTATGGATGTGAGAGTTGGACTGTGAAGAAAGCTGAGCACCGAAAAATTGATGCTTTTGAACTGTGGTGTTGGAGAAGACTCTTGAGAGTCCCTTGGACTGCAAGGAGATCCAACCAGTCCATCCTAAAGGAGATCAGTCCTAGGTGTTCATTGGAAGGACTGATGCTGAAGCTGAAACTCCAATACTTTGGCCACCTCATGGGAAGAGTTGACTCACTGGCAAAGACCCTGATGCTGGGAAGGATTGGGGGGAGGAGGAGAAGGGGATGACAGGATGAGATGGCTGGATGGCATCACCAACTTGATGGACATGAGTTTGAGTAACTCTGCGAGTTGGTGATGGACAGGGAGGCTTGGCATGCTGCGATTCATGGGGTCGCAAAGAGTTGGACACAACTGAGCGACTGAACTGAACTGAACTGAGGTGGCTCAGTGGTAAAGAATCCACCTGCCAGTGCAGGAGCCGCAGGAGATGCAGGTTCAGTCCGTGTTGGGAGGATCCCCTGGAGGAGGAAATGGCAACCCACTCCAGTATTCTTAACAGGACAATCCCATGGACAGAGGAACCTGGCGAGCTTCAGTCCATTGGGTTGCAAAGAGTCAGACATGACTGAATATGAGATCCCATATGCATTTTGGGATGAATTTTTCTCCTTTAGCAAAAAAAAAAAAAACACCATTGGAATTTTGATAGAGATAGGACTAAATAATCTTTGAAGGTTCCTTGTGGTATTAAAATAATTGAAATACAGTAATGTGTATCACTGAAGTAGAAGTTCGGCTCTGGGACTGTCTGAGTTTTTACCTCTAGAGGAACATTTATTCAGCATCTACTACATGCCAAACATTGCAGCAATTCTGGGAGAGACCTCATTAGTGTTCTTATCCTGCTCTACATGAAAAGCCAGGATTTCAACAGGAATATGAGCCCAGGGCTCTGTCCTTATAGAGCCTGTGTTTTTCACACACTACCCAGCTGCCTCACCCTCCATCTCCTGGCAACTTCCTAAGAGTAGACAAACCCAGAACTGATTAGAGTTTATTGTTTCACTGGTGCCACAACATGTGTGGGGGTGCTACTTGCTACTGTGTTTCAGGGGTTGTCACAGAACTTTTTAATTAGTTGCTTATGCATATTTGAATACTCAGTGTTCTTTGGAGGAACATGCCTAAGCAAACTACGATGTTTGAGTTTACTTATATTTTTTTAAATGAATAAAGTCTCACCTGGGACTTCTTATTATTGATGTGTATGTGACCAAATTCTTGCTGAGAAGGGACTAACCCTTCTTCCAACCATCTCTTCTCCTCTGTGTTCTACTCGAGATTTCCAACCCTCAGCGAGTGATGCAAGTGCTCCAGGATCATGCTACGAAGATGGCCTTGCTGGCTTCGTCTCATGCAACATGTGTGACTTCCCAGGGCAACTATGACCAAATCTGGGAGACTATTTATAGCAACATCAACCTCTACCAGGTACAACAGGAAGAAATAACCAATATGCCTTTCTGTTCAACTCACCACCTGTTTGTAGACCTTAGAAATTTACCTTGAGCCACTAGGAACTTTCCTGGTGGCTCAGATGGTAAAGCGTCTGCCTACAGTGCAGAAGATCCAGGTTCAGTCCCTGGGTTGGGAAGATCTCCTGGAGAAGGAAATGGCAACCCACTCCAGTATTCTTGCCTGGAAAATCCTATGGATGGAGGAACCTGGTAGGCTACAGTCCATGGGGTCACAAAGAGTCGGACATAACTGAGCGACTTCACTTTCTCTTTCTGAAGGAAGCATGAGGCTTAGGAAAGTGGTGGTGGAGAGGGAAGTAGGCAACCTATTCTAGAAGAGAAACTTGAACAACAATGCAGAGGAGATACTGTATATGGGAGTGTTCAAGCTCAGCTGGGTTGAGTGGAAGATTCATATGAAAATAGAGTGAAGAGAAGTTTTTTTTAGCAGGGAGGAGAGGTACCTTGTGAATGCCCAGAATTCCAGACTAAGGAATTTGTGCTTAATCCTATATATAGGAGGATTAATGTGGCAGCTGGGTATCAGTTAGATTGAAAGAGGGAAAGATTGGAGGCAGGGAAGTCAGATAGGTAGCTACTATATAGGATAGGCATGGAGTTTACCAATGAAGGAAAGTTTCTATACAAAGCTAGTGGATACTTATTTTTGCAATGGAACTATAAGCTCTTTTAAAATTTACTTATTTATTTATTTGGCTATGTTGGATCTTAGTTGCAGCATTCAGGCTCCAGAGAGCACAGGCTCTGTAGCTATGGCACTGGGGCTCAGTTGCCCTGAGGCATGTGGGATCTCAGTTCAGCAACCAGGGATCAAACCCATGTCCCCTGCACCGCAAGGCAGATTCTTAACCACTGGACCACCAGCAAGGTGCCCCAGAGCTGTAAGATTTTTTGAAGCTGTAATCAGCTATTTGTTTGTTGCTCTAAAAGAAGAGTTTTATTTCATTTGCTATTTAAGATAGCAATACCAGTGTGCTTATGGTCTGAGTGGAAGGAGCAGTGGAGAAGAGATGAAAGACATGAAAGAGTAAATTTGAGAAACAGATGAGGAAGGAAGAGGGAATGAGATGAAGAAACCAGGAGGAGGAGTAATTTTGAGAAAGGGAGAATGGCGTCACTTCCCTTGAGGTGAAGGTGGTACATAGAATTTTCAGGTGCATAAAGATAAGATACAGGAGCTTGTGAATGGCCCTGGCTCGCTCAGAGAGAGGAGGAAGAGGTCTGCATTAGTAAGGTAGAAGGTGTGAGTGACATGTGAGGAGGTGTATCACTATGGGGAGGCCAAAGAACCACCAGTGAGAAAAAAATAGAAGGATGACAGTGTAGTTCACAGAGCCCAGTCGAAGTAAGAGGGCATAAATTTATAGTGAGCACATTCGCATAATTATTACTTTCACCCCTAAAGATAATTATAGAGTGACTAAAAATTACACATAAAGTGACAGGTATAGAGAAGTTCAGTAAAATGCTAGAGAAAGAAGCACTATCATGGTCCAGCTTCTGGGGGTGGGCATGGGGGAACACTGAAACCTGAAATGCATCTAATGAGTTGCAGGTTGACTGTAAGCAAACACGGGCTGGAAGCATGCCCATGTCCACACACGCACCTTCTATACCTTTTCAATCTAGAAACTCTAGAGAATCTAATGAATAATGAGTTGGCCACACAGACAAGGAAGAGATGCAGCCTACCATATCATGGCTCTCCATGGCCCCTGAATTGCCCGACAGGGTGTGCAGCTACCAGTGATAGCCCCTCCTCAGCTAATATCCTGCCAGAGTTGAGAAATTTGCCACACGGTTCATATTCCATTGCCATTTCACACTGAGGTATAGTTCAGCATTCAAGAAGACCTTCTACTAACAAGGGGACATTTTAAAACCCTCTGGCTCTTCTGCTTCTTGAACCAGACTTGTGGGGAGGGAGATAAAGAGTATGGAAGAAGGGAGTGGGATGAAGGCAGAGTCAGCTCAGGTATCTCTGAACAGGACCTCTGTTCCTAGGATCCTGATAGTCAAAGATGCTGATTAAATTACCCAGGAAGTTCTGGTATTAACATCTAAGGGCCATCACCATGAATCTCTTTTCCTCCTTGACTATGAGAGCAGGGGAAACTAAACTCCTGGGAGCCAATAGGATGAAAGGAGGGTGGAAAGAAGAGAAAGAATACCACTTTCTGGCTAGTTCAGTTCAGTTCAGTTCAGTCACTCAGTTGTGTCCAACTCTTTGCAACCCCATGAACCGCAGTATGCCAGGCCTCCCTGTCCATCACCAACTCCTGGAGTTTACCCAAACTCATGTCCATTGAGTCGGTGATGCCATCCAGCCATCTCATCCTCTGTCATCCCCTTCTCCTCCTGCCCTCAATCTTTCCCAGCATCAGGGTCTTTTCAAATGAAAAGGCCTTTTCTGGCTAGTTACTGACTTGTAAAATTATTCTTGAAATTGACCTAAAGAAGAGAAATGTGAGTGCTGTATTTTTAAGCTGATTTATGGTAAATAGACTGAAAGAGACTTAGAATATCTGTAGAGTCTAGAAGTGGAACATGGGAGGAAACATAACACACACACACACACACACACACACAAATTACCCTACATTAGTGTAATACAGGTTTTTCAGTTGCCTGTTCATTTGTTCAGTAATAATTGCATGGGTACTGCTTTAGTGCCAGGAATTGGGCTGGTTTAGGGAATGAAACATGCAATTAACAAGTGAACAAAGAAGTAAATCTGCATCTCTAATGTGTGGGTGCCATGCAGAAAACCAAGAAGTAGAGGGCAGTGAGGTAGAGAGGAGCACCCTCTGGTAGGGAGATCAGCCAAGATCTTTCAAAAAAGGGGGCATCTGAGCTGAAATTTGATGAACAAGGAATCAGCCATGCACACAAGCTGGAAAAGAGGTATCCAAGTAGGGAACAGAAAACAGGACAGGGTTTAAAAAGTAAATCCTGAGGCAACAACCAATAGGCAGCAGCCACCTTCCTTCATGTTTTCCTCTGGGTGTTACTTTGTGACCTCCTCCAGTATTTCTGCTTTGGTTAAGCACTTTATATAGTATCAGAGCATCAGTGGTAGTGTTGTTGCCATTCTGAATGTTGAATACTAGTGAGATGAAATTAGGATTAAGTAAAAGGTGGCAACTGGGAATGTGGGTATGAATTTTAAAGTTCTGTTACTATTTTGCAAGCTCATAGCAGTCAAGTATGAATTTTAGTGTGTATATGCTGAGCAGCATCCTGATTCTGAACACTAATATCCTATGGAAAATAACTTTCTTAAGGCCCTTCTGCATGGAGGAAAGCAAACCTCACAGTACTGTTCATTTTGACAGTTCTGAGAGAATACAGGCACTAACTGTACAGCAACTTCAGAACAGTTTTTGAAAAATTCTTAGTGGATACTGTTGGCCAGTAAACCTCTCTTTAGAGAATTTTTTTAATGTTGTGGTCTTTTTTTTTTTTTAGTTTTTGAATAGTTTTAGATTTATACAAAGGTTGCAAAGACAGTACAAAGAGTTTCCAAGTACTAAGAGTTCTCTGGGCACCACAATGCATTAGATTGTCACATCTCCCCAGTCTCCTTGGTCTGTGCCTGTTTCTTAGTCTGCCTTTGTTTATTATGACCTTGACAGTCTTTAGCAGTACTGGCCAGGCAACCTGTAGAATGTTTCCTCATTTGAGTTTGTCAGATGTATTTTTAGTGGTTACACTGGGATTACAGGTTTGGGGTAAGAACATCCCAGAGGTGAAGTGCCCTTCTCATCACCTCGTATCAGGGACAAACGCCATCAACAAGACATCACTGGGATGTTCATTTTGACCACATAGTTAAGCTAGTAATGTTTGCCAGGTTTCTTCATTGTCAAGTTACCATTTTTCTCTGTAAGGAGTTTCTGAAAAATCAACTTTAAACTACAAAAGTAAAAACTAAATGAACTAATGGGGACTTTAGTACTGGTGCCCCCGGTTTCACTACCTCAGGTTTATACTGGTATTGCTTCAGGCCTTTTCAATGCATTTTCATCCATACATATGTCCCTATTGAAGAAAACATATATGTATATATACACAGTATAATTTTATATTTTAGTTTTCTATATGAACCATCTGTCATACCCTATGGATATTTTTCTGCAATGTACTTTTTCCACCAAACAGTATGTCTTAGGGGGCTGTCTCTGCTGTTCTTTTTAATGGCTGCATTATATTTTCTTATATACTATAGATCTCACAGCCACCCTTCTATGGATGCTTGCTGCAATTTCCCCCCCTATTATTAATAGAAACCATGGTTACTGAACTTTCTTGTTTATGCCTCCTGTGCAGAGATGTGTCTCTTTTGCATGGATATTTAGAAGCTGATTTTCTAAGTTACAGAATATGCATATTTGGAATTTTTCATAAATCCTGCCAAAGTGGTAATACCATTTTCCCTAATTAGCAAGTTATAAGAAAACCTGTTTTCCCACATCCATTTTGACACTGAATATACTTGTCTAAATATTGATAATGTTTGTCATGTTTCTATTACAGTGTAAATTGGCCTTTTATTTAATATTAGCATGCAAGACTGGCCACTCTTTTCTTTATAAACACAACTCTAATTTGACATTCACGTAAAGATCTAGGTTTGGGAGTTAAAGAAACAATATCAAAATTTCACGTCATTGTTAATTGACAAAAGTATATAGCTAGAAAGAGATAATTCTGATCCAAATGGACTGCATTTTTAGATATTCTTTTGAAGAAAACTTAAAATAATTTAACTGCAGTCCTGATCAGAAGAAGAATCAGCTAGCCCTGCATGGATCCTCCCAGGCCTGTAATTAAGTCATGTGTCCAATGCCATTCTCCCCCTAAACACCTGTTTATTAAAATGGCTTTGTATGGACATTAAATACTGCTATTGATCATCATATTTCTAAAGATATGGTTTAAATTGGTCACTGTTTTTTAACTTTATGGTAAAGTGGCAGAAAACACTGTATTGTTTGCTTCTTCTCACTGGCCACACCAAAGAGGGAAGAAGAGGACAGCCATTTTCGCCTATCTATGTTCTTGTTCCCCTCCATCTCCAGCGATATGTTACCATGAGTATGTGGTGTGCGCTCACAAAAGCGGCGTTGTATGTTCCCTGAACTTGTACAGGAAGTTCATGGAAACATGAAACACCTTTTTCCTGGCTTCCCTCATTAAGTTCAATAGAACATTTTAAAAAGAAACATTTTCTTGTGATAATAGTGACATGTATTTATCACAGAAAAATTGGAAAATATAGAAAAGTTCAAGGAAGAATGTATGGATCACCCATTATTTTATCACCCAAATATAACAGTATTTCTAGCATTTGGTCTATATCATCCTTCTAGTCTTTTTATTCTGTGGGTATACACAAGTAAATTGTAGAGACATTTGGGCAGGTGGGAAATACTTAATAGGCTTACTTTCCCCCTATTTATTCCCTCCACTCCACCTCCCACTCCACTGTCCCTGCCAGTTTTCCAGGAGAAAATGAGATTTGCAATCAGTGGAAATCTCAGAACTGTCAAAATACATGAACTCAGCCATTCTGGCAAAAGATCCAGACACAAGGTAGAATAAATGTCAAAGGTACCTACCCAGGAAGAGAGAAAGAACATAGTTGGTGGTGACATTCTGGTTTCTCATCAGCCCTCTGCTTATTCTAGTTCTCTTAGGGAGATACACTTGTGGACTTTCAGTATTTCCTGAGCAGTTTGTCTCTGTGGGCTATGGTTAGCTCATTGCTCCTGGAGGATGCTGGGCTCTCTGTCTTTACTCACCCTAGCCCGCTGTGCCCCTTTCCTTTTTTCCCAGCAACCTGCCAGTCCAACAGTATTTTTGTAACTTGTTCAGTCATTCCTTCAAAGTCATTCACTGTAACTCAACATCACTTTCTATTCCTTCCTGTGTAATTCTGGGTAATTTTAGAAGCAGCTGAAAGAGTCACAAACCTATCAGAGAAATGCTATGTCTCCTAGCCTACCCCCTGGAGCTTGGAAATGTCATCTTTATCTGGGTGGCCATGTGCCAAAATAAATGTTTAGGTACTATGGGAAAAGAAGATGGACACTGGGGAGCAACCCGGTTTCTACCATAAGGACTTGTTGGAATTCTGAGAACCACTGTTAGAAGACAAGTAACCCAAGCAAGCCATTGACACTCAGTTTTTTCATGAGGATCAGTCCCACTATAAAAGAGCACATATTATGAGAATGGGGTATATGCCCAGGGACAGGCAGAGAGGGCCTGCCCAGAAGGCAGGAGTGGGACCACACATCAATATTACCTTCTTCACAGTTTTCCTTAGGGCCCTGGGTTCATGACCTCCCCCTTTTTGAAATTAGGAAAGGTGACTGTGGAAATAAGTGTAAACCACAGGTTCTATGATCAGTCCTACAGGGCTGACTGACTAATGCCATCCCTGGCCAGGAGAAAACCAAGCAACTATGAGGTACCAGCAACTTATTTTCTAATTTTATGCTATTTTACAAATGTGAAAAAAGGATCAAGACTTTAAATGATTAAGTCATATAGGTTAAAAGTAGAAGAGTTTAATCCACTGATCTCTGTCAGCCTGGGACAAGACTAGATTAGAGAGGTTCAGGGTTCCAAACATCTACAAATGCATGGGTCATCTTTTCATAAAATGAATCATAGTAAAAATATGACCTCTAACTTATTTTAGAAACCCAGATTTTCATATGTCAGGTTGAAATGGATCATAATGCTCTCCTACTTGTTCATGTAAATATGCCTTGGATCAAGAGATTTACTTTTGTGATAACCCAACTTAGATTTTGTTAATAAGATTGCAAATGTTTATGTAATTCAACTAATGCTACTTTTTTTCCTAGACTGAAAACACTAAGGAAGATGACCTTTCGGTGCAACGAGATGAAAATGACCCAGCACCAATAAATCTTAGCCAGTGTGCTAATAAGCCTGTGGAGCAGAAGAAAGAGACAAGGTAAAATGAAATCACTTAATGGTGACTCGAGAAAATGGATTAAACACTGTGGAGAAAACTGAATGATTGATTAATATGTCAGTTAAAGTTAACTAAAAAATATTTAAGGCTGAAATAAAAGTAGTGTTACAGCTGACCAGATAACTAACGTTTCACCCTAGGACTGAATTTTTTTTTAATGAGAGTGATTGCTAAAAGAAATTTCTTTTAAATTTGTATATACAGAGCCCTTATTTTCCTTCCAGTGGATTTTAAAAGAGTAGCTATTGTGAAATTAAATAAAATGACTTCAGTATGCTGTATGTGAATTTTCTGAATCACTTTGAGGTGAAAGGCATTTATTCTGTTTTTCCTGCCTGCTAAAGGTACAGTTATGCTGTGGCCCTACAGCTGTTGGGCTTGGATGAGAGGACTGGGCCCAGTGACAGGGATCCTGTCCTGTTGAGGGGGACCTACTTGTCCTTTCTGTATCTGCGTCACCTGAGGATCCGGGAGCTGCAGGTATGTGAATGGTCTTGCATGCATCTGAATTGTTTGGTTGTCTGTAAAGGGGGCTTTCCTGCTGCTCCAGTAACATGCATTTTTACACTTTGTTCTGATTCTTCCATGAAATCAGGCCTTTTGGAGGGTGGTGTGTTCCTTTTCCAGCAGTAGGGTTGACCTGCCAACTTCTGGGACCCAGTAAGTTTCACTCTGTAGGATGGGCCAGCAAAGGCAGGGTCATGATCCTGTTCTTTCTTTGTTTCAGCGCATCTGCTTAGGAATTCTGAACTATTTTAGATCCGTTGAGCGAACGTTGACGATCAACACTTCAGGCCTTACCTTGGTTTCAGGGAGCCTGGTGCCTACCTCAGAAGACAGTTCCTGGGTAAATAAAGCAAAAGGAGGCATGGGCACCTCGCAAGGCCTAGGCACTCACCAGTATGCTCATGGGACACCTGCCGAGCACAGGGTGAGGATTGTGCTACAGTTTTTTTTCCCATTATTATCTTGTCTCCCACGCCACTTCTTCTTAGCACTTGGAATCAGTTAAAATGATGAAGTAACAGGTGGGAGTTTCTAGGAAAATAACTTTTTTGAAAAATTGCATTGAAAAGGGAAATGGCTTTTTAACCACAATAAATACAGTGTCCACTTGAGAGCAGGACACAGGCAGAGAACACGATGCCCTGGAAACCACAATAGGAAGGAAGGCAGGCATTTCAGTTGCTGGTTTATCTGCTTTATAGTAAACAGACCAAGAGGAGCCCTTTTAGAGAACCACATGTCCTTACAGAAAAATTCTTATAAGACCCTCCTTGACATTGTAAGAAGTACTTTTTTTTTTTTGCGCCTCTTTTCTGTTTTCTAAGCCCCAATTTAAAAAAAATAGATTAAAAAACAAATGTAGGAAAAAAAACTTGAAAGATTCAAACATTGAATTCTTCTATCCCTCTCAAAACCTGCTTAGTACCTTGGTGCTTTTAATATCTCTTGGATATACTTTTATGTAATCTAAAAAAATTCATATTAAATCTCATATAAAAATCCCTTCCTTTGGGAGTAAAGTTGAAAAATACATTTTTTTGAAATATTGTAGACACTCTTGAAGTATGTTCATCTTAATCTCTAGAAAGTTTATTCTTGATGGTAGGATTTAATATGAATTTTTATCTTCTTAAAAGATACTAACTTGACAAATATGAAAAATAATATCTATTTAGCTACTAAGTAGGTCATATTTTAAACTTGTATGACCCCTGACATATGATTGTCATGTCTTATTAAGGGTATGAAATCTTACTACCAATTGTTGCTCATATGCAGTCTGGAGTAGTGCTGTCCAGTAGAAATATAACACAAACCACAGATGTCATTTAAAATTTTCTAGAAGCCACATTTTAAAAAACATAAAGAAACATGAAATTAATTTTAATAATGTACTCTATTTAAACCCAGTGTATCTAAAATATCATCCTTCTAACATATAATTAATATAAAGAAATCATTGATGAGATATTATATATTTTTTCATACTAAATCTTCAAAACCTCTTGTTAGTATGTACATCTCAACTCAGACAAGCCACATTTCTATCTTGTCTCCCACGCCACTTCTTCTTAGCACTTGGAATCAGTTAAAATGATGAAGTAACAGGTGGGAGTTTCTAGGAAAATAACTTTTTTGAAAAATTGCATTGAAAAGGGAAATGGCTTTTTAACCACAATAAATACAGTGTCCACTTGAGAGCAGGACACAGGCAGAGAACACGATGCCCTGGAAACCACAATAGGAAGGAAGGCAGGCATTTCAGTTGCTGGTTTATCTGCTTTATAGTAAACAGACCAAGAGGAGCCCTTTTAGAGAACCACATGTCCTTACAGAAAAATTCTTATAAGACCCTCCTTGACATTGTAAGAAGTACTTTTTTTTTTTTGCGCCTCTTTTCTGTTTTCTAAGCCCCAATTTAAAAAAAATAGATTAAAAAACAAATGTAGGAAAAAAAACTTGAAAGATTCAAACATTGAATTCTTCTATCCCTCTCAAAACCTGCTTAGTACCTTGGTGCTTTTAATATCTCTTGGATATACTTTTATGTAATCTAAAAAAATTCATATTAAATCTCATATAAAAATCCCTTCCTTTGGGAGTAAAGTTGAAAAATACATTTTTTTGAAATATTGTAGACACTCTTGAAGTATGTTCATCTTAATCTCTAGAAAGTTTATTCTTGATGGTAGGATTTAATATGAATTTTTATCTTCTTAAAAGATACTAACTTGACAAATATGAAAAATAATATCTATTTAGCTACTAAGTAGGTCATATTTTAAACTTGTATGACCCCTGACATATGATTGTCATGTCTTATTAAGGGTATGAAATCTTACTACCAATTGTTGCTCATATGCAGTCTGGAGTAGTGCTGTCCAGTAGAAATATAACACAAACCACAGATGTCATTTAAAATTTTCTAGAAGCCACATTTTAAAAAACATAAAGAAACATGAAATTAATTTTAATAATGTACTCTATTTAAACCCAGTGTATCTAAAATATCATCCTTCTAACATATAATTAATATAAAGAAATCATTGATGAGATATTATATATTTTTTCATACTAAATCTTCAAAACCTCTTGTTAGTATGTACATCTCAACTCAGACAAGCCACATTTCATGTGCTCCATAGCCACATGTGATTAGAGCCTACTGTATTGAACAATTCAGCTCTGGATATTAGAAAACATTTTCTTATTCTTCCTGCCTAGTCATTTCAAGTCCAACTTACTCAGTATCTGGGAGATTCTTCTTTTTGGTCTTCCCTATCAATTTCCCCCTCCCCACTCCTCACTGTACACAGATTTCCCTTTTTACCCTTCCTTCTTCCCTTGATCCTAATTTATGGTGAGCCAAGTCCAGTTAGTATGTCCCTCAGTGGAACTGGAGAGGAGGGTTAAGACACTTTTGAAGCAAACACTCCCATAAAACAAATACATCTTTTGTGTTACTAATATCCGGCCTGTCTTATACCATATCTGGGTGTGTTATTTGCTAATAGATTTAAAAAAGATCTTTCTTACCACTGTGCCCCTCTCCCCGTTTGTTTGTTCTGGGTTGGGGTAGGGTGGAAGGGAAGGAGGAGGGGGGAGACAAATCCTATCCTGTACCATTGATTATAGGAGAAGTTTCTCAAGGGTAATACAGTATTTCTTTCCTATGGTCTCACAAATGGTAGGAATAACATCACCCTTAAGAAACTGCCTGCAGCTACTACTTTAGTGTGAGAAACTCAAGGAGGTAGCCTTTCTTTGAGGTCTTTAACAGGACCAAGTGGTTTAACTGCACTCCTTGCATGTGGCCATGTCAGCATTTAATCTAGAATGTCCAGACTAACTATGTGATTCTTTTTCATATAGAGGATGGAAGGAACAGATGCTAATTTGTTGGGTTGATCTTGCCAGGCCAGGGCTGAGGCTACCTGGAGCAAGATTTTTGGGTGTACCAGTCAGTGGAGGTAAAGAAGTAGCAACTGAGATGGAAACCCTCTTCTCTGAGCCCAGTGTGTTTGATCTCACATGGAACATCTTAGGCCAGTATTAACACATATTTGCTCACTGATAATACCAAAAAAGGAAAGCCCCTACAACCTGTCATGAGCACTTTGCCACATGCCTACTTTAGACACGTGGCAGAGTAGAAAGGGCCCCAGAATGAGAGGCAGCAGGCTTCTCCTGGCTGTTTGACCTTGAGCATGTTTCTTCAGGTACATAGGCCTGACACATCATGGCATGTTCAGGATCTGCCTGGATTTGACATGCTGGTATCAGAGACTGTTGTAAGCAAGTAGTGGGAGATGAAGCTGCCGAAGAAAGGAGACCATGAAAGGCTAGGCTGTCCTCAGGATATGGGACTAATTCCAAGATTGGTGAGGAAGAGAGAATTTTAAATAAGAAAATGGCACTCCTCATTGCCTTATAAATTTCTCGAGATCTTCACCCAGACATAATCGTGTTTATTCCCTTGGTTGAACTGTTCATGAATTTTTCTATTTTCTCAAGATAAAGTCCAAGCCCCTTGGTGAAGTTTACAAGGCTGGGTGCAAGCTGGCCCCTGCCAACCTCTCAGACCTCATTTCTCCCCAACTGTCGCTATACCTTGGTTCTTACGGCCCTGGGCCTGCCCTTCCTCTGAAGGGGCAGAGCTGTTCATGCCTCTGAGTCTTGTATATAACAGCCCTTTTGTCTCTCACCACCTCTCCTTGATAAAGGCTTGATCTTCAAGTCCATTCAAACATTACCTCTCTGAGAAGTCTTTCTTACATCTCTCTACAGAGCTTAGTGCTTCTTCCCCTGATTTTACCTACCTATATTACAGCACATGACTCATTCCAAGATTGTTGGCTTATCTACTCCCACAGGCCATGAGCCCATCATTCATTCATTCTCCCATTCATATACCCCACAAATGTTCTGACTGATAAATATACTAGGCACGGGGCATACAGCAGTAAACAAAACTGTCACAAATTCTTGCCATTATGGGGCTATTTAATGGAAAGAGACAGATAATTAAATAAATACGTGACATTGTAGAATGACTGAAGGTTTGACACCAAAGTTTCTCCAGACATCCTCATCCCCTGCAGTTGGGAGGTGCCAGTGGACTGTGAGCAGAAGTGACATGTGTCACTTCAGTCCAAAGCGTGTAAGGGCTGACCCATGACCCTCCAGCTCTCTTACCCTGCTGCAGCCAGTGGAAGGCACATGTCGAGCCACGAAATAGAAACGTCCTAGATCCTTGGGTCACTGCTAGAAGAGAAAAACCTAGAAAGCAACTAGTCCTGCAGTAGGCTCTGCCTGAGTTAGAAATTAATTTGAAGTGTTGACTACTGAGCTTTAAGGTTGTTTGTCACAGAATAACCTAGGCTTTGTGGACTGGTAAAGATGGTGATAGAAGCTGTGGTGAAAAATTAAGTAGGATGAGGGGATAGAGAGTTGTTGATAGGATATTGCAGGTGGAAGGGAGGTGATCAGGGAAGACCTTACTGAAAAGGCACAGTCTGAGTAAAGACCTGAAGGCAGTCAGGGAGCAGACCATGTGACTGACTGGGGGAAGAGTGCCGGGCAGAGGGGAGAGCCAGTGCGAAGGCCCCGAGGCAGAACTCTGTCCAGCAGTGTTGTAGGAACAGCAAGGAGCTTAGTGAAGCAAATGAGGTTAGAGAGATTGGAACACATTATACAGGGCCTTGTGGATCATTCTGAGGTGTGATTTGACTTTTTATTTTTTTTAACATCTTTGCTGCTGTATTGGGAATAGATTGAAGGGCTGAGCAGAGACTAGCTACTACACTGATCAAACTAGAGGCACTACATTTTAGAAGACACAGGATGAGAAATGGCTAGGTTCTGTATGATTTCCAGGCTGTTGGGATATAGAATATGAGAGAAATCATTGTTGATTCCAAAGTT